CCCTTAGCTAGCTGAATTACACCTTCTTCGACTTTCATTCTCGACGACATTCTTGGGAACAATTAAAGGACGAATTCACTTTTTCAATCGTGAATTCGTCCTTTAATTGTTCTCAAGTTCTGATAGTGAATTGTCTTCCCTCTCCTATCCTTATACTCCCCTCCTCTCGCCTCTGCTCTTCAGCTGCTCTTCAGCTGCCACCGCAGCACCATGTGAAATGACTGGAAGTGACCAATAGTAGGTGTTTAGTGTATATAGCCGTTGGGGTGTTATCACAATCATGCCATTGCAAAACATTGATAGCTCAAGTCCTGCGAGCTACCCGATTCTGTTAGCGGTTGTTTATTCCATTAGCTGCCTTATCACTCACTTCATTTTGCGGACGGACAGACGGACAGCACATCAAGTTAAGTTTGTAAAACAGAAGGATTTATTCGTGTAAAAAATAAGGCATAAGTCCTAAGCAATCATTCATGCGGCATCGTTGTCGAAACAGGAGGGGCATCTTTTGCAGTACATCCTATCGCCCATAGTAATTTTCTTAGAGGGGGAGAAGCGCCGGGGTGCGTGAGCCGTTTCGCTTTGATATCATACCCACCCCCGACTTGCGAAGTGATAAGGAAGCTCATGGGATAAACAAACCGCTAACAAATCGGGTAGCTTACAGGATTTGAGATATCAATGTTTTGTAGCAGGATAGTTGTGATAACACTCTAGGGCTATATAAACACCTGCTTAGCACACTTCCGTTCATTCCACATGGTGCTGCAGTGGCAGCTGGAGGGCAGTGGAGAGAGGGAAGGGAGGATGGCAAGGGAAGAGGAAAACCAACCCAAGTATCTAATTGTAAGGTAAAATTGAGAATCAGAATCCTACTGCAGTCATGTCGTGATTGCGGTAATGCCCTCTACTACATAAAACATCTTTTTGTGCATCCAAGTCACCTCCACGAGATGTTGGAGCCACAAGGAAGGGAGTTCGGTAGACGGCGTAAAGCTTACGCAGGTAGGAGATTTCCGGCGGTTGACGGGGCCAATCTCGTCAGTGTAAACTCCATTAATTATTGCGCCAATACCCTTCTCCTTGAGCTTATTGACAAACACAAATCCCAATTAAGCTATAATACTATTAGGTCGGTCCATAATTTTTGAGACACTTTACATGTATTGTTGTAAAAATCTTTTGATAAGTATTGAAGCTTTCCAAGATGTCCTGCAACCTAGCACACAAGCTCGCCTATCCGACAGGCTAGCCATCTCGTTTGCTTGTTGCTTTCTTTAGCTAGGATTCCAATTTCTTCGAAACCTATTTCTGAGCCTCTTTCTTCATGACTACCGATTAGGATCTTCCACGCGCCAAGCTATATGGAGGATTAACCAGAAGATAGTTGAGGGCACGCTCTCTCAATCCACGGTGCTCCGGTGGTTACCTCTACTCAGGGTTCCCTCCTTTTATTCGAAGATGATCCACACTCCAACCACCCCGTGACTGGCAATCTCGATGCTCTATCCGGCGTCACTGAACAAAGTGAGCGCTATTTGTCAGAGCGCTTTTGGTGTGACAAGGCAGAGTACTGAGACAAGTCGATAAAGTCGCTAAGGTTTGAAAATATGGAGTTTGTCTCTCACATGCTCTGAGCCCGAATCAGCTCTAAACCCGATCTGACATCATCATGTTCCTGTTGGTTTCCCATAGTTCCTTCGAATGACCATCCACCATACTCACCGGCGATGTGACTGACCAGGGAGCTCGT